CCCCCCAAAACATAAGATATAAAAAGTAGTAAATGTGGCCAAAAGTTGAGCAATGAGAAGGTGTTAATTACTCAAAGTACGAGTACTTACATGGCGCTTCAGTATCTTCAGTGTTATTCATGCCGGCCATGCATGGTTCTTTGTCAATGTCAACGTGTTCTTTTTTCTGTCCAAGATCCATCTGAAAGCACTTCCTGTGTGACGAGCGTATCATAGAAGTGACCTTCCGTGGAGCAGACACGTCACGACATAACCAAACCGAAGTATTTGGCTCCCGATGGTTTTCGCCCTTTTCCCATGGCAGAGGTTCTGACCGATGAAGAAAAGTCGGTTTTGGAGGCCTTCCAGAAATTTGACAAGGATGGCTCCGGTTCCATCTCGCGCGATGAGTTGGGACAGGTGCTGAAGAGCTTGGATCCTGAAGGTTGGGATAAGGACTCCATTGACCAGGTCTTGGCTGATGCGGATGCCTCTGGTGACGGACAGCTGCAAATGAAGGAGTTCATTAGGTGGGAAAAACAGTTGTCCATTGACGGGTTTTGGGGGGAAGTTTTGGACTCTTCCCTACAAGTCAAAGCCCTTATTTTACTGAAGATGGTCATACAAAGGAGGTAAACAACCAGGTTTTACTGGGTCTTTAGACTTGTAGGGCTTGGTCTCCAAACGATAACATGCCATATTGGCACTCCTCGACACGAGACATGAGTGGCTTTGAGTACTAGAAGAATCACTTTAAAGCTGGGCTTGCTTCGTTTGGTGGGCCCTCACACCTCCTCAGGTGGGCCTTCACTCAAGATGAGTCGATTTCCGGCGGCAGAGGCTTCTTGACCCTCAAGATCGAAGGTGCAACACTGCGGCCGGAACTCAATGGAATCTACGTGCCCGAACGGGAAACCTACTTCCAGCGGCCCGTCTTCTACTGCGCGGAGAACGACCGAGTCTTGTTCTACCACGGCAGCCAAGTGAAGTTTCAGATTTGGTTTCGGTGATTCGTTTGGTTTCGACCACGCGAGAAACATCGAAAGGGCTGCGGAAAGTACCATCCTCCTCTGTGGAAACAGGGGTTCTTCCACTTCCATGATTGTTCTATAGGGAGTACAATTTGATGTCATCCTTGTCAGTGACTTGCTTAGGCAAGCGGCAGCAGTGGCAGATCTACTGGCAAACTTCCACCCTGAGTTCTGCTCGTTTGAAGACGACCCGCTCACCCCACAGAGACTCGTTGGAGGCTACTTGGGCGACTTATGACTCCAAGACGAAGAAATTCGTGCCGGAACCAGAGATGCCCGGACTTGGCCAGACAAACATCAGTTGAAGGAGTCACGTTCGACGGGGTGCCGGTTCCGAACGGAGGAAGTCGGGGTCCCCAGAACATCCACTCACTGGATGGGACTAAAGACCACCCCTTCTTATGACTCCTGGAGTTATCCTTTAAAGGTGAACTGAGGTGAATTCATACCATCTAGAATGCATGTCTGAAAACGATCAGGGTTTCTCTCACCCCTGATCCTTTTCTTTTATGAGGTGACCGAATCAGACGTGTCATTGTTTTTTTTAACCTCCCGCCTTCCTCCTAACTGGTCTCATTCAGGATGCGCTGCAGCTTGCTGACACCAGAGGAGCAACAGGCGCTGGCACCCACATGGGTCATGGTCTACGACGAGCCCGCAAAGCGCTGTCCTTTTGATCCAGCTGCAGGGCTTGGACACCAAGGCACGGCAGACCAGCGCCTCGGGCCGCAAGAACGGCTGGTGAAACCGGTGGCGGTCGTGGTCGGGGTTGTTTTGTGGCATCGACATGAAAGGATTCCGAACGAAAAACATGGAAGTGTCCCAGTGGTTATTTAAGGGCCAAAAACATCCAAAAACTATTATTTGTGCGAATTGAGCTAGGATGTTTGAGTCTTGAGGAGGGTTTCCAGTCATTTTGATTTGACATGGCAATCTGGCGATCCAGGGATTCAGTCGGCCAGTGATGCAATGATGTGCAATGACAGGAGAACAATGCTGCTAGTTTGCAGGTCGTTTTTGAAGTATACCTGGTTTGCATGAAAATAAGATCAGGTCCGGTCCGTTTTTGTGGTGATGTTCTTTAAATTCCTATCTTCGACTTCGAAGCGAGTCCAATCGTTCTCACCAAGGCGAACCTTCTTCTACAAGAAGTCAGAGGAGACCTTTGCCGACCGCCCCGTGTACGATGGTTGGAGGTCTCGCTACAAGACTGGTTGGCACATTTGCTATGATGCAGACTTGAAGATCTGGAAGCAAACCACGCAAGTGGGCAAAGCCGGATCGCCTCCAGGGCGATCCGTGCCCACCAATGCCTATGCTCCCCATTTGACGCCTTGGTACAGTGATGAACGAACCATCCAAAGGTGTGTGATTCCCCACCAAGTGGATGCGGAGATTGCGGAGGCCGATGGCCGGCTTGTCACCCTGGGTGGTGCCAAAACCTCTTACGTGCCCGTGAAAGAAGAGGTTCCCGACGGGTGGATTGATCCAGACTTCCCCCATGAGACCAGCACCATCTACATTCGACGGTTTGCTGGCTCGTACCGGAATTATACCACCATCAAATGGATGAGAATTCCAGCCATCACTGCTACACCTGTGCTTTTTGATGACTTGTCACCCGCAGATGTTTGTCAGAAAGGAGTTGGAGACTGCTGGCTGATCACAGCCCTGGCCGGAGTGGCCGAGTTTCCTTCCTTCTTCAAAGATCACGTCTTTGTGACCCAAAACGTCCCGAGCGAATCGGGCAAGATCGAGCTGAAGCTCTTCGATTGCAAACTCCAGGAGTTCCAGGTGCTCCGTTCGTTCGTCGCGATGCCCGAAATGCTCCGTTGTGTCTTCGTCCCCGTGTTCCGTTCGTAGTGTCGGCCAGGAGATCCAGGAGTCCCTAGCTAGTAGATCAGGGATGGTATTTAGCCTACAGAATGGGGGGG